TTGTTTCACTACCTAAGACTGATCAGCTCTGATGGAATTTAGCAGACTGGGTCTGGTTTATTGATGATAATACAGTGTAAAAATACTACCTTTTTTGTCTTGAAGAAAGGGGCTTCATTTATATGGGGTTATTTTGCTTGCAATGATGTCGTAATTTGCGTCTTACTCTGTTCTCAGCGACAGTTGCCTGCTGTCAGTAAGCTGGTACAGAAGGTTGACGAAAATTTTTACTGAGCAAGAAATAACCTTATTTTAATTACTAAAATTTGAGAAATGTGATTCTTGACTGGAAAAATAGATGTGTCGTGGAGGCCGAATGTTTGCACCAACCAAAACCTGGCGCCGTTGGCATCGTAGAGTGAACACAACCCAAAAACGATATGCCATCTGTTCTGCCCTGGCTGCCTCAGCCCTACCAGCACTGGTCATGTCTAAAGGTTTGTAACACTTGTATTATAAAAGAGTTTGATAGAAGAAATAAGACACCTACTGTTTGATGATTAGGGTGGTGGTTATTCACAGTAACCCATTTCAAGATGGCTAGAAGAGAATAATTTGAATGTTTTTAGCATAAAATGTTTCAGTTAATGGATATTCCAGTTGACAAATGAGGGCATTCAGTTATTAAATGTACTCCAGAAATACATGTTACATACCAGTTTAAAAAAATTTTATATCAGAGTGATACAAAATGCCCCACTTTTCTTTTACATGAATGTTTGTTAAAATTGCACATTCTTTTCATCCTGAAGTGTCTGATTAAATTTTAATCCTTTACTAAATATTAGGTCTGACTACTTAAATCTGACAAATTAATCATCAGCGAATACTAGTTTAACTGGGGAACTAATTATTCAAGTAGTGGTTTAGTATAATCCTTAGAAATTGTCTACTTAAACTTGCCAATTGTGTTCCCCACCGCATTTTTATTTAACTGTCAAAATGATGAGATTCCACTTAATTGGTCCGTGTTTCTGAAACACATGATATTTGTGGAAATTCTGACTTGGCACATTGAATGCCATTTTGCTTTTATTGGTTGTATAAAATGTTTGATTTTTTTTTTTTTTATTTTCCAAAAGGTTCAGGATAACCAAGTAAGTGTCAAATTGGTTTTTGTTAGGTCATCGTATTGAGGAAGTTCCTGAACTTCCTTTGGTAGTGGAAGATAAAGTTGAAGGTTACAAGAAGACCAAGGAAGCTGTTTTGCTCCTTAAGAAACTTAAAGCCTGGAATGATATCAAAAAGGTCCGTTTAATGAACACATTTACAGTTTGGTACTCCTTGTTCACAATTTGTCACTTTGAATTTCAGAAGATAAGGGTGGTATGGCTAAGCCTTAATGTGTGAGAGAACAAGAACCTCAGAGCCCAATTACTTGGGTTTAAATCCTAACTGCCGTTTAAGGCTCTGTGTAACCTTGGCAAGTTATTGTGCCCAGTTTAATCATCTGTAAAATGGAATTAAGACTCTGAAGATCTATTGCAGAAATTGTATCTTAATCAAAATACTAAAACTGCTCACTTTGTAGGTCTATGCCTCTCAGCGAATGAGAGCTGGCAAAGGCAAAATGAGAAACCGTCGCCGTATCCAGCGCAGGGGGCCATGCATCATCTATAATGAGGATAATGGTATCATCAAGGCCTTCAGAAACATCCCTGGTAATTAAACTGCTTACATATATTGACTAGGTATAGTCTGCAACTCTACTCAGCTTTTGTTATGATGAGATTCCACTTCATGGTCCGTGTTTCTGAAACACATGATTTTGTGGAAGTTCTGATTTATGGCTGAAAGAGTTGCACCATTGATGGTTGAAACTTCATAATTAATAAGTTCTCAGGTACCTTTTGTAGCTCTTAAGCCATAAAGATGATTTGTGTTTCTTTTGTTGAAATACAGGCTCCCTAATGTTTCTTTCCCTTTAAAAGGAATTACTCTGCTTAATGTAAGCAAACTGAACATTTTGAAGCTTGCTCCTGGTGGGCATGTGGGACGTTTCTGCATTTGGACTGAGAGTGCTTTCCGGAAGTTAGATGAATTGTATGGCACTTGGCGTAAAGCCGCTTCCCTCAAGAGTAACTACAAGTGAGTATCTTTCATATACTAAGCACAGCTGTTTATATTGTGGATATTAACATTCAGAATTGGCTTACATGTTTTCTAGATAATTTTGTTCCCATTTGCCCTTATGTGCAGCAACAATATGCCAAAATGGAACTCATCTGGTCCGTGTTTTTGGTTTTTGTTGGTTTGGTTTTTGAGACAAGAGTCTTGCTCGCTCTCTCCCACGCTGGAGTGATCTCGGCTTACTGCAGCCTCCACCTCTCGGGTTCTTCTGTCTCAGCCTCCCGAGTACCTGGGAATACAGGTGTGTACCACCACACCCGGCTAATTTTATATTTTTGTAGAGTTGGGGTTTCACCATGTTGGCCAGGCTGGTCTCGAACTCCTGACCTCAGGTGATCCAACCGCCTCGGCCTCACCAAGTGCTGGGATTATAGGGCTGAGCCACCGCACCCGGCTTGGTCCATGTTAATGAGAAGCGATAGTGTAGTAGATATTTTGGAGAGCATAGTGGTTAAAAATCTTCAGTTGAGCTTCATGTTCTTTGGTTGATTACTTTTACACGTACATGTCAATCTTTCCCTTTCAGTCTTCCCATGCACAAGATGATTAATACAGATCTTAGCAGAATCTTGAAAAGCCCAGAGATCCAAAGAGCCCTTCGAGCACCACGGTAAAGTGACACTTAGAGTGTAATTCTTGCCCTAACCCTATACTATTGGTTGTTTCAAAAATTTGTATGTGTATAAAGTTAAGTGTTGATCCAGTGTCTGCCTTTTTATAGCAAGAAGATTCATCGCAGAGTCCTAAAGAAGAACCCACTGAAAAACCTGAGAATCATGTTGAAGCTAAACCCATATGCAAAGACCATGCGCCGGAATACCATTCTTCGCCAGGCCAGGAATGTGAGTGGTTTTGTTGTTGTTGTTTGTTTTAGACGGAATCTTGCTCGGTCACCCAGGCTGGAGTGCAGTGGTGCAATCTTGGCTCACTGCAGCCTCCACCTCCCAGGTTCAAGCAATTCTCCCGTCTCCGCCTTCCGAGTAGCTGGCACTACAGGCGAACGCCACCATTCCAGCTAAATTTTTCATTTTCAGTAGAGACGGGGTTTCACCATATTGGTGGGGCTGGTCTCAAACTCCTGACCTCAGGTGATTCACCCGCCTCAGCCTCCCAAAGTGCTGGGATTACAGGCGTGAGCCACCGTGCCTGGCTGGGTTTTTTTTTTTTTCTACTGATACATTAAGTTCTTAGAATAATTTGATTCTTACTGTTTTCTGCCTAATTTGTTGCAGCACAAGCTCCGGGTGGATAAGGCAGCTGCTGCAGCAGCAGCACTAGAAGCCAAATCAGATGAGAAGGCGGCGGTTGCAGGCAAGAAGCCTGTGGTAGGTAAGAAAGGAAAGAAGGCTGCTGTTGGTGTTAAGAAGCAGAAGAAGCCTCTGGTGGGAAAAAAGGCAGCAGCTACCAAGAAACCGGCCCCTGAAAAGAAGTCTGCAGAAAAGAAACCTACTACAGAGGAAAAGAAGCCTGCTGCATGAACTCTTAAATTTGATTATTCCATAAGGGTCACATTATTTTGGACAGCTTCTCTTGAATAAATACCTGATCATACAGGCAGTGAGAAACATGGCTTGTTGGTGTGTTCTGTAAAGCTTGGTTATAATTTTTTTAAAGTGACATTTTGGCCATAATTTAGACTGTTCCATTTTATACTGAGTCCATGGAGTTCATTGGAAGGGGAATGATTAAAAAATTATGATTTTTTAAATAATGTGGCTTAAAAGTAAGTGTAACAGGACTTGGTGAGAAATGCAGAGGCTGTTCAAGTTTAGCTCCCCACCAGGTGGAAAATAGGTTAAATTCTGTAAATATTTAACACTTTAACCACAAGAGGGCACAATTGGAGAACACAATTTTTTTTGGTACTGCAGTAAAATTGATTACCTTTTGAAAAGTGTTCTTTTTAACCAGCTATGACAATAGAGTTGAATATTTTCACCCATGGTTTGAAAAAGTGCCAGAAGGCCACACCTGTAATCCCAACACTGAGACCTAAGGTGGGCAAAGCACTTGAGGCCATGAGTTCAAGACCAGCCTGGCCAACATGATGAAATTCCATCTCTACTGAAAATAAAAAAAAATAGTTGGTCATGGTACACGTCTGTAACCCCAGCTACTGGGGAAGCTGAGGCAGGAGAATCACTTGTACCTGGGAGGTGGAAGTTGCAATGAACCAAGATTATACCATTGTCCTCCAGCCTGGGTGTCAGAGGGAGACTGCCCCAAAAGTACCAGAAGCATTTTTCAGGACTTATGTGTGTCTTGGTGATTATGTTAACCAAGTGTGTCCAAAAGAAATACCCATGAAATGCCTCCAGATACAAGGGGCCCCCCTTTTTTTTTTTAACTCATAAAGCTAAACTGCAAATAATACCCTAGAATTAACCTCTTGTCCTGTGTCAAAGTCTTGTTTTGCATCTGGATTGTTAAACTCAGCTTCCCTGTGACAGTCTCAAACTGTCATTCTCAAAGTTCATAGCCACGGTGATCTGTTACGTTCCCCATTTCCAGGGTCAAATCTCAGTTCTTAAGCACATCATTTCTTAGCACGGCTTTATTTTCATGCTCTTTAGTTCTCTATTTTGTGCAGCCTTACCCCTTTAAAGTCCACTGTGAGTCCTACCCTGCAGACCCTCTTAACACAGTAGAGTTCATGTGCTACTGATTTGGTGCCTGCCTTCAAATACATGTGCAGGTTTTGTGGGGTTAAAAATAGCCACTTGCTGGAACACCACATTGGAAGTGCTGTTCACCCAGTTATTTGAAACGGTGTTTGACCACTTCGTGTGGAAATGGCCTATCGGATTAAAGGATGGCCAAACCCAAGATTTCTTCAGGTTCTTTGCCGCTCCATGGATCTAATTTCGAAATCCTGATCATTACTCATGAATCAAGGTGTTTTGACACACGCACCCTTCCTGCAGCTCGTCGCCCGCGGAGTGGCCAGGTTACGGCGGGCGCCGGAAGGGGGCGCATCCCTCGCCTTTCCCCATTGTGGCGGGCAGCCCCGTCTACCCGCTCGGTTTCCGGGAGTCGGCGATGGCGTCATCACCGAGCGCCGGGCCGACGGCATCGCGGAGGTCGCCTATGTGACCAGGAAACATGCTGAGCCGGCTTCAGGAACTGCGCAAGGAGGAGGAGACGCTGCTGCGGTTGAAGGCAGCCCTGCACGACCAGCTGAACCGCCTCAAGGTGACCCCGCGGCCCTCTCCCGCTCCTCCTCCATTCCTCCCGAGCGACCCCCCAACCTGGGCCTCTGCGGTGCAGACCCCCCAACCTCGGCCTCTGCGGTGACCACCTGCTGCGGTCAGTTCTCCCCTACTCACTATCTGTAGTGGCGCCAATTTACAGGTTTACAAACAAACAGGTATCTGAATCACCTGGGGAGTTTGCTGTGCGCTTCTTAGGCCCCACCTCTCAGAAATTTGACCTCGCAAGTCTAGGGTGAGGCCCAGGGGGGATGTGTGTTTGGCAAGTGCAGTCCTACCTGCTGCTTCCTGTAAATGTTAATGGCCCTCAGACAGCAGTCTGAGGAAGTGCTCCCTCCCGAAACCTCGCCTAGACCCCTCTGGCCACCGACCCCTTCCTCCTGAGCTGCTGTTTTCTAGTTTGCCTTGGCGCTTGAAATGGCTCTAGTTTTGCCAAGCCAGAAGGAACTCCCAGATCCTCCCATGCTACCAAGGAAGACACTGAGGCCCTGGGAGAAGAGACTTGTCCTAACGTTTGGAGCTTCCAGACGCCATGGCCTTGAGGAGTCGGGATTTAGGCCCACGTGGGCCACTTCCCACACCTGTGCTTAATGCAGCCCCTCAGCCCGGGGTATATAGTGAGACCTCGTCTCTACAAAAAATTGAGACAGGGCCTCACTCTGTCGCCCAGGCTGGAATGCAGTGACACGATCTCGGCTCACTGCAACCTCTGCCTTCTGGGTTCAAGCGAGTCTCGTGCTTCACCTTCCCAAGTAACTGGGATTACAGGCGTGCACCACCATGCCCGGCTAATTTTTGTATTTTTAGTAGAGACGGGGTTTCGCCATGTTGCTCAGGCTGGTTTCGAGCTCCTGAGCTCAAGCCATTAGCCACCTCGGCCTTCCAAAGTGCTGAGATTACAGACTTGAGCCACCACGGCCGGCCTTCCAAAAAAAAAATTAAAATTAGCTGAGCGTGATGGTGCGTGCCTGTAGTCCAGCTACTTGGGAAACTGAGGTGGGAGGATAGCCAGAGCCCAGGAGGTAAAGCTGCAGAGTCCAGATTGTGCCACTGCACTCCAGCATGCGCTATACGGGGAGACTCTGCCTTTAAAAAAAAAAAAAAAAAAAAAAAAAAGTCCTGGGGAGGTTATTATGCTAATCCCTGCTCAGCATCCTTTTCAGTCTTTTTTTTTTTTTTTTTTTTTTTTTGAGACAGAGTTTCACTGTTGTTGCTCAGGCTAGAGTGCAATGGCCCGATCTTGGCTCACTGCAACCTACACCTCCTGGGTTCAAGGGATTCTGCCTCAGCCTCCCAAGTAGCTGGGATTACAGGCATGTGCCACCACGCCGGGCTAATTTTTTGTATTTAGTAGAGACTGGGTTTCACCATGTTGGCCAGGGTGTACTCGAACTCCTGACCTTAGGTGATTACCCACCTCCAGCTCCCTAAGTGCTGGGATTACAGGTATGAGCCACTGGGCTTGGCCCTTTTTCAGAAACTTTAAGTCCATATGAGGTGAGGATTACCAAAGCCCTTTGTAAAATGAAAAGTACACCTATGACATATCAAAATCATAAGCATTTTTCCTTGGGGAAGTTGTATTTTTAGTAGAGACGGGGTTTCACAGTGTTAGCCGGGATGTTCTCGATCTCCTGACCTCATGATCCGCCCGCCTCGGCCTCCCAAAGTGCTGGGATTACAGGCATGAGCCACTGCACCTGGCCTCCTTAGGGAAGTCATAATGCCCTCCACTTATTTGTGTCCCTGTATTCCCACAGTACCCAGTACCTAATGAGTATATTGATGACCACCTCCAAAGCCCAGATTTCCTTATGCTTCAGATGACACCTCTGTTTTCTATTCTTTCCTTCACCTTCTCATTACTGAGTTGACAGCCTCAGGTCCAGGGAATCTCTGAGGAATCAGATGACACTTGGCTGTTTTAATGACACACTTGTACTTTGAGTTGCTAGGTCTGGGGAAGTGGAAGCCATGACTCAGCCAGAGCACCTGTTCAGCCCAGGGGAAAAGGGCTGGAGTCTTTCTTTACTCATCTCCTTAAAAGAGAGAAAACCTAAGAGCCTCCAACTTTCCCTCTAGAGGAACAGAGATAGTTTTCATTCCCTCTCTTGATGCAAACCTTTCATGGTGTGCCCAGCAGTTTAACCACATCCAGTGAAATAGTAAGGAAAAGTGTCCCCAACTCTTCTTTTCTAGGTTGAAGAATTGGCCCTCCAATCAATGATCAGTTCTAGAAGAGGGGATGAGATGCTGTCTTCTCACACTGTACCTGAACAGTCACATGATGTAAGCTTAATCAAGTGCAGGCCTAGGAGAGAATGCAAAGTCTGCTCTGCTCCTATGCTGCTTGGGTGGTGAAGAACTGTTGTAAATCACATTACCTAGCCCAAAGGGCTCTGGAAAGTGCTGATAAGAATTTTCTGGTTTAATAAGGTGGCAACTCTACATTACCCACCTTCCTACCAGCTGGTTACCACACTAATTAATTTATTAAGTAGTTACTAATGTTTTACCTCTATCTTCCTCGTCATCCATTCTGTCTAGTTACTCAGATGAACCCGGGGGAGAGTGATTTTTGTAGGGATATGTCAAAACTCTTGCTTTTTTGTGAGTAAGTAACCTTGGGAATCAAGAGTGTGGCTTCAAGTACAAAGCACAGTGCTAAAAGATGAGTTCCAGTCCTCATCATACTCATCTCTTACCAAATGCCCTCAAGTCAGTCAGCAAAATCTTATTTCTAAGTACACAATATTTGAGTTCTCCCAGATTTTGTGTGTTAAGACATTTAAAACCATGATACAGCAGCACATGTAAGTTGGCACAAATCTTATGGAGCTTTCTGTAATAATGTTTGTAAATGAGGTAACATTCTAGTGAATCAGGGGCATTTACCTTTGCCCCATTTTGGTAATGGAGGTGGGGGTATAAAAGGAAAGTGGCCATACCTCTTAGTCATAAGTACTGGGGATACGCAATTGAGATCTGATTTTAAATCATTTTTAAGAATTTGCTGTTTTGAGGCCAGCAGCTTTCCTACTAATCTGTGATGCCTTTGGCCAATACAGATGTTGGTGCATGTAGACAATGAAGCATCAATCAACCAAACGACCCTGGAGTTGAGCACAAAGAGTCATGTGACGGAAGAGGAGGAAGAAGAGGAAGAAGAAGAATCAGATTCCTAAAGAAGGGGGAAAGCCAGGCTGGTCAGTTATACAAATTGCATTTCTAAGTCTCAGGCACTTCTCCTCAAGGAACTCATCTTGCCCTGGGCCCTGTGATCTGCTTGAAAGGAAAGCAAGAACTATAAGGAGGATGTGTAGTTGCAAAAATGGCTCCATCAGTAACTCAAGCTTCAGAATGTTATGACATACAGAAAATCAAAGATGCTATGTCTTAGCATTGAGCAATATGGGTGGTGCTGTCTGTAATCTGGTCAGATTCGGTTAACTGTTCAAAACAATTTCCTCTGAAATACTGTTGGGAAAGTCTGGCATTTGCAAAAAGAGCAGAGTTTAAATACAAGCCAGTCTTTCCAGTCAACAATGCCTCTTTGAAGAAAACCAATTAAAGGCTGTTTGCATGCCGCTGAATCCTTGTGAGCAGTTAGCTCACAGTCTAGGACAGAAAGATGACAAGGGGAAGGACTGAGGGCCATCTGAGAGCACAAGCTTGCTACCTCTCAGAGGCATTGAAATACTGCATGCTATAAACTGCTTTGTGTAGCTGTTATCACCTCTCACTTGAGACATCACTCACTGGTAAAATGTTTTTATAAATAAATTATAAATAGCCATCATGGAGCCTGCTGGTTTCTAGATCGTGACAGAGAGAAGCAGCAGTTCCTTCTCTGAGGAAAAGATACAACAGGATGGTTTGAAATCCATTTCTAGCCCTTAAGAGAGATGTGCCATGCTTGGAAGACTGGATTTTTTTTTGTTATTTGTTTGAGACAGTTTCACTCGTTGCCCAGGCTGGAGTGCAATGGTGTGATCTCAGCTCACCGCAACCTCCCCCTTCTGGGTTCAAGTGATTCTCCTGCCTCAGCCTCCCGAGTAGCTGGGATTACAGGCACGCATCACCATGCCCGGCTAATTTTGTATTTTTAGTAGAGACAGGGTTTCTCCATGTGGTCAGGCTGCTCTCGAACTCCCAACGTCAGGTTTTCTGTCCGCCTTGACCTCCAAAAGTGCTGGGATTACAGGCGTGAGCCACTACGCCAGGCCGGAAGACTGGATTTTTGTAACAGAGTAAGAGTTGTTACTTCGTATTTGAAGTTGAGGTTCATTTCTGCATACTGTCCCTTTTCCACTAACTACTATACTGTGAAATAAGTAGTTCTTTAATTTTATAAAATTAATTTCCCCTGCTCAAGCAACAGTAAAAGCCAAACAAAACACAAAGAATCATGTCAAGCAGAACTTATGCAGCAGTTCCCAAATTAAGCAAAGAATACCTTTTTTTGTTAATCCACATTTCATTGAAGTTATTTTGAGCTGCTCTTACAGGAAACAGCCAGAAGTTTAAATGAGCATGTTCCTTAGAACACACAATGAAGATAGTTTGGGAACAAAAAGCATCAAGGTACATAAATTTTGGGGGTCTAATTTAAAATACGAACATGGGTTTGCAAAGTTGGAAAGACTATGAATTCCAGCTCTACCACTAACTGGTCCCTTGTCCTCCCACCTCTTTGCAACTCACTTTCCCATCTGTAAGGTGAAGATGATACTCACATGTGTTCTAGCAGTTTCACAGGTTGCTATGAGGTGCTAACGAGATCATCTGAAACTCCTACTATCATTGGTATCTCAGTAAGAATCTGGCATTGGGAGCTCAAAACACTGCAAGATTCATGCGGGGATCATAATTCTTGGTTAAAAATTTAAAAACAAAAAAATCTAAGCACCCCTCAAAAGACACCGAGCATGAAAGTGGTCAGATCTGGGTTTTGGATACCAGTTCATAACATTTCTCCTAAGGATGTAGTCTTCTCATTTTAATGAAACATTCTCAGTAGTGGTGGTATCCTGTCATTTGTAAAAGGGTGTAACATGACACAGGGTGTAAATGTTAAAACCCAGCCTGAATGTTTATGTGTTGAAAATGTGTAAGTTGAACTGTTGACTTAGAAAAGCTATACCTCACGGTGAGAAAAAAAAAAAAGCCGACTAGCTTAGGCAGCAGTATATACAACACTGATCATTTTTTAAAAATCCTGGCAGTATCCCAATTTCTGGTACCTCTAGATTGGAACTACCTACTTAGAAGATTATTTACTCAAGTTTTGTTTTTAATCTAAAAAGGAATGGGCCTTTTAGTTATAAATATACATGTTGCTTTTAGTTGCTATAACCTGCCCTTTCAAAGAAAATAATGAGGGGAGAGGTATTGACCAGGCAGCCTCAAATGTACCTAAAAGTTCCCAAAGACTTCTCAGCTAAGGAAAGGGATCCTGTGGCCAGTGGGCCATGGCTTTGTGACATCACTGCCACCTCACAGGCATGACAAAGCCAGCATCAGGCACATTCCTCCTTTCCAGGAAGGTGTGCTTAAGTGGTGAAAGAAGGGAAACCATTGCTTAATGTCGCAAACAGACTATGCTGTCGTGCAGAAAGCTCCCACACCAGGCAGGCAAGCTGGTTACCAGCAAGGCCCTCCTGTGGGCATGACAGCCTGGAAGTGCAGACAGGCCCTCAGCTCAACTATTGGTATATGGAAAATGAGAAATGTTCTGTGAGATAAGAAATACTTTGTGATTTTTCTCAGATTTGCTCCCAGACCCCCATCTGCTGCTTTTCCTTTGTATAAAGAGATCAAAGGAATATACAGGATCTATTCACAGGTCCCACAAGGAAGGGGGTTGGACGAACAGAGAAGGGTGTGGGATGAGAAGAGGTGGACTGAGTCCAGAGACTGAAATTACAGGAAGCCCCATTAGTCCAAAGCACTGAACTTGGTGTGGTGGTTCTGCCTTCCAGCCTCCTCATCTTCACCTTTCCCCTTCACCAATAATGCTTGGCTCAACCAGTATTTCTTGCGTACTAAAGAAATTGAAAAGCTTACCACAAAAGCAAAAGTAGCTTTCATCCTTTTTTTTTTTAAACTTCATAGTATATTTATTAGAATAAGAGATTAGATTTGTTAAACATCTAGGTTAAAATGGTTAAAAGGATTTTCATACAATTTTAGGCACTATACACGTTGTTTACAATAGCATTGGTACTTGGATATGGGGAAAGATAAATCTGACCTTTTAATGCCTTGATCAATTTGTGACATTCAAAATAATTCCACCATTTAAGAAACATTAATCAAAACTTAAAGAGACATACCACTAAGTATCCCACACAGTATATTGAAAATAAATATAGAAATACAACCAGAAGTCTACAGATCACCACAGTAGACAGACTGGTGAAGCCCCAGCTATCATGGCAGTGAAGGGCTCTGGCTAGATTTGGATGTAAACTGCTGAATTCTACATGAAAAGCTAATAATAATAAAATAACATGATGTACACTTTCTGATGCTCATTTTCATAGCAGCAAAGCATGCTTCACATGCACTGCCTGTGAAGGATCTCACAAGGCTCCCTCCTACTCAGAGAGAAAGTATGCCCAGCAAGAATAAAGTACCACCAAATGTCAAAGAATCCCGAAAATACAGGCAGCCAGCCAGTCATGGAGCAGGAACAGCAGTGCAATTGTAAGAATGACTACCCACAGTCACCAAAATTTCACTGTAATTCAGCCTGGCACGCGTTTTGATCATCAACATACACACAAATAGCCCCAAGCACAAAGCCAATCCACTTAGGGGAACAATAATAGTAATAAGAATAAAGACAGTAATATTAAAAATGACAAGAGTAGAATCTTGGCACATGCTGTGTTCTTCATCCTTTGTCACAGGTGAAATGCACATCTGAACACAGACAGGCATGGGAAGGAGGCCTGAAAGTGACATGGCAAACCACTGGGCAGGGGACTCGCTCTTTGCTGCTTCCTAAACACTTAGACGCCAGCAGCATGGGTTGGTGTGCTGGGCTGGTGAAGGCCGATAGTGGAGCAGAGCCAACCTGCAAAATCCACTTCCTCAGCATCAGATCTCTTGATAAAAGCATGAACCTGCATGTAAGGAAACGAGAGAACGTAGTGTTAAAAAGAAACAACAACAAAAACACCCACCAGGAAGGAAAATCCCAAGAGTTTCAGGTCTAGAGCTTGTGCTGCACTTGGAAGGAGCACCTGGCACCTGCCCCTAAGCAGCAGTGGGGCCAACTGCAGGCCCAAAGACCCGCTCCATCAGTCACAGCAGCTGTGAGGCCTTGGGCAAGTCACCTCTTGGAGCCTACTCTTGCAGTATGGACACAGTAACTCTGCCTTAAATGCCTCACAGGCTTGTTAGAAGGGACAACGAAAATGATGGACTTAGTGCATATTATGCACAGTCTGGCTCTCCAGATATTTACAGTATTACTTAGCTAACCCCACTGCCACCAAACGAAACAGCAGGCGGAGGGTGACTCAGGAAGGAGGCTGAATGTAAGGTGAGGCAGTCAGTATTAGGGAAAGGCTCCATCCCCATGAAGGGGGTGGGCTGACCTTTTCTTTCCCATGGCCCCCTAAGGCCTTTCTCTGGCATGCTTACTCAGGCTGCAGGGGTCACCCCAGCTTTCCCTTAAACTGATGGGAGGGCAGAGGAGACTGGTGTTTGGTATTCTGCAGCCCCAGGCTCAGCTGGACCACAGTGGGCAGGGAATGAATGGGCTCTGGAAGTACTGCACAGGTGACTGACAGAGAACAACAAATGAATAAACAGGTACTGTAAGAATCTGGAATAAATGGACTCACCATGAGTTGCTTCAAATCTGCTCTCTCTGCGGGGTTTTTTATTAAGCTTAAAGGAAGAAAGACAAGGTGAGAGCTATTGCCTGGCACTGGTTCTAGCTCAAATAACATGTTTGCATGCCTGTCTTCTCTGCACACTAGAGGCTGAGGATTGCCTGGGCTTGACTCATCCTCCGGTTCTAAGCACAATATCATGCCCACAGTAAGTTAATACATTCTTGCTGAATCAAAAAGCAATGTGCCAATCCCTGGAGAGCAAGTACCAAAAGGAGCAGCTACTACATCCATGATGTAGTTAGACATGTCACATAAGTCTTGGCACTCTAAAAAAGGGCTTATGGCAGCAGCCGAGAATCATCAGAGGGGAGGGGAAAGGGCAAAGCTGTGCCTGCAGAAGCAAAGCTGGTGCTTCCAGAAATGGGGTGGGGAGCCTGACAAATCCAGAGTACCCTTCCAGAGAACAAGGAGCCAACTTACCATTTATTCACAAAATCTTGAAATTCCAGACTGAAAACTCCACTGGGCAATTTCGGAGGCGGCTGCAAACACATGTTGAGATAAGAAAAATGCCTGGCTCCTTGCTCCAGCCATCTCCTCTCCCCATCCCACCCCTCTTGCCAGCCAGTGCTATTTTTTTAAAGTCTTCTCTGCAGTCCAAAGGCAGTGCTACTCTCATCCAGTCAAGGAAAGGCACAGGTGGAAGGCCAGTGCTGCCTTTTGGGTAACCATTTTGGAACCACTGGTCTCAAATAGCACACTTAGAACTGGGACCAAGGCAAGTCCACTCACTTGTCTGGTGATGTTGAACTAACCACTGTTCCTCTCTGAGCCTCAGTTTACTCTTCTATGACACGAAGAGGTTGGGCCTAATGATCTCAGGGACCCTTTTAAGCTCTGAAACTCTACAATGGTAAATCTTGGAGTGCGACATGGAAACGTAACTAGCAATTTACTGGCAGCAACAGCTAGGGGCACATGCAAACCACCAGGCTGGCCCAGGTCTGACAGCACCTGCAGAAGCAAACCGGTTTTTAAAAATCCCTTTTCTGAGCCCTAGAGAGGCAGTGCAAAGTTGATGAAACATGAACTGACAGGGCTGGGTCTGGAAGAATGTTACCCGCACACTCCACAGCGAGGCTGTTGTCAGATCCCAGAGCGATCACGCAGCGCTATGCACTACAAGGCTCTGGAGCACTGGGCGCACGGTGTTCCATGCAGTCCAGGAAATGTGGGCCCACTTACACACCCGGGCTGGGAGCTGCGTGTAGCTTCTTTGGGAGGTGCTGACCCACAGACATAATGTCCATGATGTCACTGCTCTGATGTACAGCCCCAAATCTCATCCCCTAGTGCTCTTCCTCTGAGGGCCATGTCAGTCTGATCTGAGGTGAGGACTAGAACTCAGCTCTTAGAACAGTGACCCAGAGCAAGTCCTACTCTGCACACTGTCCCTGCTGCTGAGGGAATCAAGGGACTATTCAAGGGAGAGAAGAGACCAGCAGCTTGGCCTCCAGAGGCAGCATCCATTCCTTCTAAACAGGAAAGAGCTAGGCAACAGAGGGGCTGTGTGTCAGCAGAGGCTGCAGTGGATCAACTGCCATGCGGCCAAGCCTCCTAGGAGGTAAGAATGGGAGGTGGGAGGTGGGAGGTGGTGAGGAAGAAAGAGCACTGGGTGGGAATGACATGGGCTACTTTTCATCTTGGAGGCTCAATTTCCTCACCTGTTTGAAAAGGAACCAATTTGGCCTACCTCAGCAATGCTTGGGAGAATCACATGGGAAATTAATGTGAAAATTTGGAAGAGAGCAGTGCACGCTAGGAGACCAGCAATGGCATATCTAACCTCGGATATCCCTTCCCTTAATATGACTACCACCCGGAACCACCCAGCTTAGGTCCACAGCAGTAGAGGATAGATGGCTTTTTTTCTGACTCCTACAAATGCAACATGCTCTGCCTCCCTCATTATCCTTAAGCAGCAATGATCTGATCCTGAAACTGCTTTTCTACAGCCCGTGGTGCTTAGTATAAAGCTGTGCATATAGTAAAGAGAGGTATATTAAACTCTAGTAGACTGAACCTGTGACGGGGATGTTTTTTGGTTTTTGTTTTTTCAGAGCCAACCTCTGCCTCCCAGGTTCAAGCAATTCTCATGCCTCAGCCTCC